GCTCGATTTCTCAACAGCAGGAAGACTCACAGCGCCGAAAACGGCGGCGTTGGAACCGTCTCGTTGAAAGCTTTTCGAAAATGTATAATTTCGTTTATTTATCCTCTTCGTCATCGAGTAATCGAGCTTTGAAAATCGGGCCAGGGGGTGTGATATCTTGTGTCATATACGGTAATAGTAGAGTTCCCCCCCCCCCCCCCAATTACGTACACAGGGAGATGTTTGAGGGATGGAAAAAAAAGGAAAGGACGGGAGCTGTACTGGGGAGTAAGAAGTGGTTAAAAAAGGGGGGAAGGGATATCGTTAGGATAGACAGACTAGGGAAGACATTTTTGAGCCACCTTTGGCAAAGTAGGGAGGAACGATCGGCCATCTCGGTGATCGGTCCTGTGGGAGCAATGTTCCGTCCTCTCGAGGACGCGTGGTCAATGGTCTAACCGCTAAGGCATGCAAAATATAAGAGTACGCCCCCCCCCCCCCCCCCCCATTACCTTTTCGGCCTGGAAGCATGGTTTCTTTGATTTAGCCCCGGGGTAGATCGTTTTCGACCAAAAAAAAAAAAAAAACGGGTATTTCAATTTCCCCCGGGTACCAGTTCCCACGACGGGGGGATGTAGACTATTTCCCTTATGTTCCGAGTCGATTTTGTTGCATCGCGGAGCACAAAAAGGGACAGAACATTCTCTAGCAGATCTCCCCGTAGTGTGAACGGAGCTGGCGGGTACTCTCTGGAAGGTGCGCCCTTCCTCTTCTTGGAATGACTCGGGGGACGAGACAATCTCCCCCAGCTGCTGTCCTCCTTGCTGTCTTTTTTCTCTTCGCCTTCGTTGCTCTTACGTTCCTCCTCCCTCTGCTTGTTGAACGCTTGCTCGTAGACCTTATCCATCTCAGTTTTGCCACTCTCTGTGTGTGTGGTGTGTGGACCATAATTATTATGCACAACCCCCGAGAGGGCTTCCCCCCGGGTAGCGTTGAAAAAAAACAACTACCCCCCCCCGGTACGTCAATTTCCCCCCGTTTTTTTTTTTTTTTCATGTCTTCACTTCAAATCAGCGCTCACAGCACTAGTGCCATTTTACTCCAACCCGTGGTCACACAGAAGGGCCCCTCTCTACCCTCCCCTCCTGCGGTACGTTGCCTTCCATTTTTTATGCGAGAAGAGTTCAGCACTCTCTTCCCTCTGTGTACACACGAACTAGCGCTATCCACTAGGCCAGAAGCGGAAGCGAGAGAAAACTCACTTTGCAAGAAAAGCTCGCTTACGCCGTGGTTCGAACCACCCTGACCTGACCTCTAGAAGGATTCGAGGATACCAACCAGACCACCGGGGCGACCGGCATTTGGTTTCAGAAAAGAAAACGATCCCCTCCCCAGAGGGAAAACTCCGTTGTTTACGGTATACATACTGACGATGCGGAGGCATGCTACGGTGCCCAAAATGGCAGACATTACACAAATTTGGACTGGGGCTCCAAATTTTTCCATTTACGGCAGCAGATTTACAATTAAGAAATTTTCCTGGAAACTTCGTGCAGGCAAATATTTTAGATTCAAGGGGGTGCGGAAAAGCCAGGAGAGCATCCCCCTCTGAACCGGAACGAAAAAAATACATGAAACCGAAATATTTACCATGGTATGCGTTATTGGGGGGGGGTGGGGGCGTACTCTTCTGTTTTGCATGCCTTAGCGGTTAGACCATTGACCACGCGTCCTCGAGAGGACGGAGCATTGTTCCCACAGGACCGATCACCGATGGCCGATCGTTCCTCCCTACTTAGCCAAAGGTGGCTTAAAAATATCTTCCCTAGTTTGTCTATCCTAACGATATCCCTTCCCGCCTTTTCAAACCACTTCCTACTCCCCAGTACAGCTACCGTCCTCTCCTCTCTATTCCATGCCTCAAATATCTCCCTGTACGTCCCTTGTATTTTTCCCAGCTCAGTCATGTACACTTCCCTCTCCTCTTCGTACCACGGACATTCCGCGACTACATGAACACGGTCTTCGCATTCGAAGCCGCAATCACATTTGAACTTGTCGTCTTCGTCGTCTACCGTCCTAATGTCTTCGTCGACGTTCTCGAAGGCCTATGTCCCCGGTCCTGAATATGACCTTAAGCTATGCGTTTTGGTCCATGTAGGTAATACATAAAACGACAAAATACACGACGACCACCTTCGAGTTTTCACACGCGGGTTCGAGTCCCGGTAGCGCAGCCTTTTTCTCCCATATACTTCGAAGTATATTAAACCTATATATATATTTTTTTCATATGCATATTTCCCGCTTTTCTTCTTCCTCTGTTTTATTTTTCCGGTACTCGTTCCTGAATTTTGAGCTCAATTTTTGTTTCGGTCAGGTGGTATATGCAACTGTAACCCCTTCTCGTCCTCTCTTGTGTCGACTCCCCCGTAGGCAAGGAGAAGGAGCGCTTCACTCTCTGTCTTGCTGTCATGGCGGACGGCAAGAAGGTCCCGCTACGCATCATCTTCAAGGGCACGCCGTTCATCCCGCCGGACCTGCCGGGGAAGGGCAAGAGAACTCAGCCGCGGCAGGAAGGGGTCCATCTCGGCAAGAGGTTGCCCCTGGGAATCGTACCAAGTTCGGGCACCCCGTGGGGGGCATGTCGTTTGGTGTGCAAGAGAACAGCTGGTGTGACGCGCGGGAGGGCACCCTTTGGATCTCGGAGAGCTGGAGGCTTCGCCCCAACAACGGAAGCATCATCAAGCAGCCCCCGAACATGTTGGTGTTGGACGACTTCAAGTGCCACCGTGACAAGGCCTTCATCGACCACCTCGGGAAGAGGTGCAACACCAGCGTCATCCTGATCCCGGGCGGGTTGACTCCTCTCCTCCAGCCGCTGGACCGCATGCTCAACAAGCAGATGATGCGGCTACTGCGGGCGAAGTACACCGCCTACACCGCCACCGCGGTTGCCGACCCCACTACGGGCAAGCTGAACCCCCTGGGCCGTGGGATGGTGTCTACGTGGTGCAGAGAGGCGTGGGCAGCAATCACCCCCGACACGGTCAAGACTTGCTTCAAGATCTGCGGGCTAACGCTTGCGCTCGACGGCAGCGAGGACCACGCCTGGTGCATGCACAACTTCGGTGAGGGTTACCGCGAGCTGCTCCAGAAGCAGCGCGTCGAGTGGGACAAAGCACACCCCGGCGTTTCGCTGCCCCCGCTCCAGCTACCAGAGGTACCCGACGGCGAGTCCATCGGCACCAACCCCATCACGGCTGCAGAGAAGGAGGTTCAAGGACGTCTGCTAACTCCTGCCGATGGAGAGGAAAGCGACAGCGGTGTGGAGCTGCTGGAATATGACAGCGATCTAGAGTTCTTGGGCGTGTCGGGGGGTGGGGAGAAGGAAGGAGAGGAAACGGAGTTGTGACAATCGGTAGTTGACAATGCTATTGATGAGTACAGAACCACACGTTTAAGTACCGTTGTTATTGGTTGGAAGCACACCGGTAACGGCAACGTAGGCTGGTACGTAACAGCTTTCCATGCAGCGAGTGGTCTTGTGTTTGATGCGAGTTTGGCTATGGCGTGAAAACAACAAACGATGTCGTTTCCATCTGAGGTGGTACCAGTACACACGGTATCAAATGTTTCCCGCTTTCGTTTCGGTCTTCTTGTACGGATACCAGTACGTACGCAGCAATACAATAGTTTCGGGTTGTGTAAGGTGGGGTAGGGTGCGGCTTGTACGTTGTGTGTTTGGTTGAGTGTACGGTTGGCAACTTCCATACCAAATACAAAATGAAAACAACTGGCATCCCGCGTGAACCGCGACCACCCAATCGTACGTAAAGGAGTGGCGCTCCGCTGACACCGTCCCCACGTGTAAAGGTACGCACATGTACCTCATTCCGGCAGCTGAAAAGGAGCTCAATCTTGAATTTCGGGGTCGGAGAGATCACACCCGCTGCCATCTCCC